AGGGTATCTCCTAGTCGAGCAGTCTCGACTGGAGCTTTCTTACTTGTTTTTGTTTGTGATTTGTAGACATCGAACCCATTGAAAATGGGAAATCAGGGTATAATTGTTTTGTTATAAGTATGTAACAGGCAGAAGGAGGCGTGGCAGACCCCTTAAAAAATAGTGTATATAGGAGCTAGAGACTTGACATTTTTTTCCTAGGTCCGTGTACATCACGCGCATATCGAGTTTTTCTTCAAAAATCGGGAACTTATCCCGTTATTTTGTTACCGATTAAAACACTTTCAAAAATCAGTAATAAATTTAAATCTGCTACTTCTTTAGTGCTAGAGTCGCCAAATTTTAAATGTCGATTCATATGCACTGTATAGAAATTTGATTTTTGTTATAACTCACCCGCACCTTTATATCCACTCCATCACCCCTAAACTTGTAAAAGGCGTATTTCAAATTCTAGAGACTTGTGTTTTGGCACATGCACGCATTTTAATGTTATAATTACCACATGCGTGCGTGTGTGTGCATATGTTGTTGCTTGTGTAAGCAGAAAGTCGCGAAAAGTTATCGAAATATCACTTTGTCGAAGGGTTCAGGGGATCCGTAGTCGAGTAGTCTTGCACAAGCAACAATATTACATGGATCTGTCTACACAGAGAATCTGAAAACTCTAGCTCTTTCGGTATTCAAGGTAAGCTTAAAAACTAGATTAAGCAATCCGTTCTTATCGATAATAAGGACAGATGTTGAGGTATGAAAAATAAAATTATGATCTGCTTCGGCGTATAAGTATACATTTGAAACTTCAAGTCTATCTTCTATTTCTATCAGTTGTCCTAATTGAAAACTGATTTTCCTTTATGCGGTCTGTCACACTTCCTTCTGCTTCTTACAAATATTTGTATTAATACAATAGTATTGTGATTTCGAAACTTAATACTTAACCTTAAGCTGCTCAGCATGAATACATATTGATTTGATGTATATTATTGTTATACCCTAAACTCATTGAAAATAAAAAATCAGAATATAATGTTTTTGTGAAAACGTATGTAACAAACAGAAATAAGCGTGACTGACTCCATGGAAAATATATTCTCCTGATTAGAGCCATGAGCTGAACCAATATAGCCATGTTCGTCTGTCAGTCTGTCCGTTCATATGAACGCTGAAATTTTAGAAGATATAACAGCTAGAGACTTTAAATTTTGCATGCATACTCGTATATATCAAAATTTCAATTTTCTTTATTCTATATTAGGCTTCTGTAATTTAGATACAAAAATATATTCATTAATATGCGAAATTTAAGCCATATGGACAGATATAAATTATATATTATTAATCTTAAGCCATCAACCCATGTACATTTATAAAAATTACATTTTCTAATTTTTAGTATAAATTTTGAATCCCGCTACATAGTTATATTCTATTTGCCACGCCCTCAGTACGCGCATATTCTTTGTGGATATATAGGACATATAGGACATGTCTGTACAGTTTCATCCGATTAACCACTCCCAATCGGGTGTTAATATATTCGCCGTATCTCTGCGATCAGCGCGAGTATGCATTAAAAATTCTATATCACTTCAAAAAGCAAGGTTTCTTCTGAATGCATTTTCCAATTTGCCACACTCCTCGTAGGTGTACTCATTTGAACTCATTAATGAATATAAGTTTAGACCGGTTTATTATTTCAAAGTTGATCTGCATTTATAGATTAATACATATAGATATATACAAAGTGTGTATTTATACAAATTGAGCTTTCATTATTAATTCGAAGGAACAACTCCTATGGCGAGGAACAACTGCTATACTGCTACTGCAGGTATGACTATTAAGAAGATTTCGAATTGGAAACGTCTTCATATCCCATAAACAATAAATATTGAACCTACCTTATAGTGGACATAAAACTTTTTATTGATCAGAGCATACATACCATATTGAATCCTCATTGCAGTTTCTATAGTTGATATAAGAATACCGTCTCTTTATTGCGAGTAGGGCTTTGTTGTTCTTCAAGAAAAAGTCAAATGGTTTCATAAAAATTGTCTAATGCGAATGATTTATTAAACAAGGTTTTCAAATAAAAACTTCTACATTTATAAATTTATTTTATAGTTTATATTTTACGGATTTTAAGTTGATAAAATTCTTATTAGCAAGTATTTGCATTTATTATTTGCATGAGTATTTGTGTTAATAAGAAAGAGTAACTAATATCAAATCCATGTGATTGACTGTCTCCACCTTTAGTTGTTTTAAATTTATTATTGTGAGATGCTCAGATTCAACTGAAGACTGAAGGAATCCAATATTATTCTAGTATGTATAAAAACATTCAAAAGTGTTTGAGAAGGCAAATAAACAATTAAACGAGGTTCAATTAAAAACTTTTCAATATTTACATATTTTATAGCTTATTATAAATATTATATAATATCATGATTTATTAGGTTAGAAAGGAATTGCAAATCGTAAACGAAAACAGTATATTCCTTAATCTTATCTAATCAAATGGTAAAATTCACAAAAATGAGTTTCGCGAAGCAAGATCTGACGTGACTCTATGATTTAAACATTGTACGTAAACATTGATATATATAATGAATGGGTCGGAAGAAATCGAATTAGTTATTCTAGGTCATTCTGTACATTTTCGTCGCTACTGCTGCTGGAGCTGAACTCGTCGGACTGCTGGTACTCGCCCGTTATTTGACAGTCGTCGGGGTCATCATCGAGGTCACAGTGTACAAATTCGTAAGGGGGGAAGATCAGCGAGCTGAGCAGCGTTGCTGACGACTGGTAAACAGCCGGAGCGAACTGCTGGCACCTGCTCGATAGGGAGTTGAGGGGCTCGACGCCAACTGAAGAGCTCAGATCTTCAGGTGGTCTCGAGTCCACAGCTCTCAAGCTACAGCTCTGTCCTTCGGCATCGATTTCGGTCGCATTCTCGTGCTGCTGCCCAATCGCCGTTGACGCAATATCCGTGGCTGGCCCCAGAGGTGCCAACTTCGGCTTATCCTATTTGCGGCGACGGGACTTGTTTCTACTGGTGTCCTCATGGGAGTTGTCTTCGTTCTCGTTGTGGCAGTTGTCAGCGGACTTCGAGGCGCCTTGCGCATCACTGCTCGACTTGATGGCTGCGATCAGGAATCTGAGCTGCATCAGCTGGACCGCTGTGACCCGCGGATTGCTGCAGTTCTCGAGCCACTGCAGGAACTTTTCGCCGTGCCTAATGGCGACAACTTCTTCGATTTCGGCTGCGTAATCCGCGTACTTGGCCCGCTCCTCCTCGTCGGTCTTGTTGGAGTTGTTGTTATTGTTGCTCGCACTGACGTCGTTATTGTTGTGGGGATGCGTATCACTGTTGAAGCTCGTCTCCGATTCGCAGCCCAGCTCGGGGCTTACGGGCGTGGGGGGCTGTTCTGAGGGATCTGTGCCTACAATGTTGCCAATTTTGTAGATTATATTGCTGAGGACGTTCTTGCAGTCCTCGCCCACACTACACGAGGTGCTGTTCAGCTCGGCGCTTGGATTTGTCGCGGATTGACCGGTGACTGCCGTGCACGGCTCGGGAGTCTGATCACGGCTGTTGGCAACGACGTGCGGAGAAGGCATGGTCGGGGTTGTGGATGAGCTCGCTGATTTCGCAGACTTGGCCGACAGGTCCTCTGGTTTTCCCGAGACTTCGGGCTCACCTTCAGGCCCTGCCTCCAGGTCCGTGGCTGCGTCATTCTGTTCTGTTTGATTCTGCTCATTAGACGAGACGCTTCGCACCGATGGCGATCCGGTTTCCTTTGTCAACTGCGAGTATAAAATATTGTCAAACTGCTGCTGCTGCTGCTGCTGCTGTTGCTGCTGCTGCTGCTGTTGCTGTTTGCCAATATCATCGACATTCGTGGTCTCCGCCGTAGTCGACGACGCCTGATGGTGCAGTGAGTTTGCTTGCAGTGCTGCCAGCGTGGCAGAGTTCGGGTTGAGGGAGTGCAGACTGGCGCCGAAGGCCTTGCACCAGTTGTACCAGGCCGAGTTCTTGTCGTCCAAGCCCCCGAGAGCTGGCGATGATGGAGCCATTGGGGTCGATGGAACTGGCGGAGTGTTGGGATATTGATTCATCTGCTGCGGCGTCGAGGATCGGATTGGAGGACTTGTCACGCCCAATGCTGCTGGCGGGGGATACAGGCTGTTGAGTCCCAGCATTGCCTGCTGTGACTTGAGCCAGTATAGCAAAGGATCGTCGGGGAGTCCTGACAGCGGCGCAACACAGCCAACAAGTGAAGGAGCGAGCTTTGGACTCGGACTCTTCATGTTTCCGTTCTTCATGTCACACTCTCCGGCAGCCGAGCTGGTCCCTGATGGCTTCTGCTTGGCCCAGTTCTTGACGGACAACGCGGGGGTACGTTCCCGGTCTCCGTTGTCGCTTTGAGGACTCTGTACTTGTTGCTGCTGCGCCTGCACATTAGCCTTTGGGTTGCGCAATGTGTTGGCTGTGGCTGCAAAGTTATTTAATCCCGACATCGCTGCCAGGCCGGGGTTTAGCTGAGCCAGCAGATTAAGATTTGAGGTGAGCTCATTGAAGCTGATTGCTAGCGGGGATTGCGATATGCCAGTGAGGCCAGACAGATGTGTGAGACTCGAGAGAGGGCTTATGGCGTTTAGCGAGGGATCAGAGGGCCCGGACCGGGAAATATCTGCACCAAACACCTTGTTTTTGATCGCTCCGTTGAATCCCACATAATCAACTGGTAGTCCGTTGTAGTTCATTTCTGATAGACTCTTATTTGTACTATAATCCAAGCCATTCAGGGGCGATCGCTTGAACGCAAGCTCGTCAAAGTTCATTTTATTTGAGAAATTCAGAGGCAGGGTGTTTTCGAGACGTTGGCGCTTCTCAGGCGGCCCCAGCAAGCCGGCAGAGCCGTCCAGCTTATCCACCAGCGAATCGGCGCACATCTTGTCGGCTGCCGATTGGCGGGACATAAACCGGAGCTTGTCTTCGTTCTTGCACCAGCCGCGCAGAGTCGATTCGGGCACACCTATGTCCCGGGCCACAGAGGCTTTGGATTCACCATCATGGATACGCTGAATCGCATGAATCTTGTCGCGGGGGGTCAAGCTACGCAACGGCCGCTTGCCCTTCGTGCCTATCCGTATGTTCATGTGGGTATAGCTGGAAATATCCAACTTCAAGCCGTTATCAAACAGTTTGGATTCTGCAAGAGAGAACGAGAAGACGAAGAAAAACATTTAAATTAATTACTGTAGCTGTGACACACTTAAGACGCACACGCAGCCACAGCACGCATATAATGAATGCAGCACATAGCCGAAAATAATGCGTTTCCATTCGCCAAGAGCCACTACATGCCATGTACATATGTAGAGCGAATGCTCAGTGCGCGCGCCATGTACTTTCCACTGGGGTTGTTGTGGCGCTCAGCTGAACGGCAAGGGCGAGTCGCACATTCGCACGAAGCTCCAATAAAATCGCGTCGCGTTTTAAAGTTTTACGGACAGCTCGCGAGGTAGATGTAAATAAACTGGACTCATACCCACGAGTATACCATATACATACACACGCACACGCACACACACATACAAAGCTGGGCGCTCGCAGATACCAATACAGACATCAAATATTCTGCTGCCGCTGCTGCTGCTCTATCTTCACGGCGAAAAGAGCTGTGGCACGCCCCCATGCCACTAAAAAGCCATAACACGACGGTGACGACGACGACGACGATGACGACGACGGCGACAGCGACGGCGACGACGAGGTCGCAGCAATGCCAAAAATGAAAAGGCCTGGGATGTACAAATACGTACACACACACACACACAGAGACACATACAAACACACTCAGGCACACATACACACACACACACATAGAGACAATGGAATATGCTAATTGGTGCGTTGAGTTCGCGCCTGCTCCAAATTGCAGCACACAGACACAGTGCCGCGAGAATCTACGAATAAGCAACAAGAATAAACCATTCGCCAACATCACCGTCGTCATCGGGAGTTTCACGAATGGGAGCCGAGCACACGAGGCGCACGATTTATAACTTGTTTACCTGCCTTCGTGCATGCGGAGTACGACAACGACAACGGCCACGACAACATCATGTTTGTCGTGGGCAGCTCTCGCTTGCCAGCCAGCAAGCAAAAACATCCCCATCCAGCAGCAGCCGCAGTAGCAGTGACCCCATCCATGCTCAGCGCAATCAGTTACAGCCTGTTGCGTGGCCCCCTGCCACAGGGAGGTGGCACTGGCAGCAGCAGCAGCAGCAGCAGCAGCAGCAGGTGTAAGCTGAGAATGGGAACTGCTGGTCCAAGCCAGGTCTGAAGCCTGAGCTCGAAATTCGGGCCTTAAGTGGGTTAGACTCGAGATGATGGCTGGCCTGGCCGACGGTATCTTGGAAGCCAAGCGAATGGCCGTATGCTCCGCCTCCGTCTCGGCTAACAAGTGCGAGGCATGCAAAGGAGCTCGTCCACTAGCCGTTGCCATTTGAAGGAGCGGGACACGCGATTTTAAAATGAAAAACACGTTTTGCGCATGACTGACACATGATTTCTTTCTTCTGTATGAATGTATACAAAGCCACACAGCACACAACATACGTGAAAAAGCAAAAGTCTGAGGAGCAAGACGCAACTGGACCTGTTCGACTGGTGTGTGTGTGTTGCTGTGTGTGTGTGGGTATGAAAGCAATAAGAGTCGACAAAGAGTGTGCGACTAAAGAGAGCAGTGCTTAAGAGCGGGACAAGCAGTCAAAGAGTAAGAACAAGAAGTCTGCTCGCTAGAGGCTGCAGTCCGTGTTTCTCGTGGGCGTCTTAGCTAATTACACACATGTGTTTACGTACGTATGTGTGTTTATGTGTGTGTGAATGAGGGAATAAGCTAAGGTTGCATAGTATTTATTAGTTTGTGTATGAATATACCTTACATACACATAAGTTGTGAGTTAATTAAATGACTGTGCGATCTTTGTAATTAAATAGACTCAACTAAATCATTAATTATACGCCAATTCGCATTTTATTTAAATTGAATACCTTACATTAGCATATATTACGATTATTGCACATACTCATACAGACATATGCAAACACTGTGACAATCCGATGCGCAAAGCTGATTCATCTTTAAACAAAATTAATAACTTATTACCGACTAATGTGGGGCGTTGGGGTGGGACGTATACTTGGTCATGTCCTTAACCTTCATTTCAACTATATACACATATAGAGACACACGCACACACATGCACCCATTCATAGCATAAACATGTACGTATGTAGGTGCATAATTGTGCGAATCGTGCGCCCAGACATGGACACTCATATCCAATGGAGTGGTAAATAACTGTGGCTCTGCCGCTGCCAGTGCCACTGCCACTGCCATAGCCAGTGCTAGTGGCTGAGGCTGTGGCTGTGGGCTGCCTACTGCCCCCAGACGCCGCCAAACACACATATCGAATAAAACTTTTACAGCTGTATAAAAATTGCAAGGTCTTCTACCATTCAGTGGCCATAGCCAAAGCCAAAGGCAAACCCAAAGCGAAAGAATTCTTACTTTCTCTTTCGAAAAGTCCACACTCCCAACGTGCCATTAAACTTTTCATGAACCGAACTGGGACAGTGCATGAAAAAAATCTGGTAACAACAGAAAAAGATGAAAGAAATATATGTGTATATAAAAGAATTACAGTAAGTTTGTCTATGGCTTGTCTGTATTAGTGAGAGCCAGAGCTCGTCTGTGGATGTGTCTGACTACACACACACACACACACACACATACCCATACGTAAACACTAAACTTTCTTACATACTCCTTGCTGCAGACGAATATATAAAAATAATGGCCGGCCGGCAGCCTGCTTATTTATTATATACATATGCTCCTCTCTCTGTGTGTGTATGTGTGTTTGTGTTAAAGCATGTAATTTTCCTATATACAATTATAATTTTTATTGTATTTACTATTTTTATCGTCGCTTTGGCCTCGTATCGAACTCATTCAGACACAAACACAGACTCTGACTGTGTGGGATTGCAGGAGGTGGGAGACAGGACACACAGGATATGGCAGCACAGTCTGCTGAATGCAGGTCAACGACAGAACTACTCAGAGTGTACTAATACATTTGTGGATAAGTATGTGCAAATTGTGGGAACAATACTCAATGATATGAACGATTTTTTCGAGTGTGCGTTTGTGTGTATATGTGTATGTGTCTGTGTATGTGTGTGTGTGTATGTGTGTGCTAGCGTGTGTTGGTCTATGTCTGTTTGGGTTAACACAAAAAAGAATGAAATGGCTTAAAGAGTAATATAAAAAAAAGTTTGTTGTGTCTGTTACCCACCAAGTGCAGATTTATATATTATGTATTAATGTGTGCGGGAATCACCTGTTGGTGAAATTGGACAACATCAAAACTCTTGGCTGTGCGAGTGTCAGGAATATGACTATTGTAATATACATACATATATCGTGTATCTTAAATACTTCTCTCAGTCAGTACAGATTCAATATATAAACTGGAGCTAATGCAGAAATAATTAATAATGCGATTACACCACGTTTTGTTTTCGTTTGAGATCCTGAGGTTAGGTATCCTATCGAAACTAGTAATTGGATATTCAAATACATATACATATATACTTGTTTTTAACTGAATACAATTCGTTTTTCGTTTTATGTCCCTTGTAAATAATATATTCAGTTTATCACATGTATTACTGCTATTCATTGCTGAATAATTATTATCGATATGCGATTTCGTTTTCACAGTATGAATAAAGTAATTATTATTATCTCGAATCTATATTCTATATGACAACAAAAGCCTAGTTTAATTAGGACAATTTTAGGTAGTTTCAATCAAACTAGGTATTATACATCGAGCACTAAATTTAGTCTCAAACATAGACATATATCTTATTTGGAATATATAGCTATAAATAAATCATTTTTATTATTTTATTGAATGAAATAATAAAAGCCAATTTTCAGATATTTTTCCAAATTTTGCTATTTCGACTGCGTCTTTTGCCCGAAAAAATATATATATTTATATACATATACATATATACATGTATAAATTGTTTGTATATTATATAAATATAAATTATGTGACTATTTTTTGAGAATTAAATTAGTTTAATTTATAAAGAACTAAAAATGATTGAAAACAAAAAATGGTATTTACTATATTATAACAAATATTAATCCCAGAAATTAAATTGTAAAAAAATATATAAAATGAAAACTTTTTTAAAAATTTATAATAATCTTGAAATGAAATTTATTGAAATATAAATATAAATTTCCTATATATTGTACAATATACATACATATATAATTATCTACCTGAATCCCGAAAAGCCCAAATTTTTCCCGCACGTTTAGGTCTTTATTGATTCGCCCTAAGAATTAAACATAACAAACGCATTGACAATTGATAACACAATCTGTAAAATGCAGTTAGATTAATTTTTGATTGATTTTGAATTTGACAGATATATCCTTAACACAACACGTAATATGCCTTTGTCATTAATGGTTTTTGGAATTTTAAGCCTACTTAGTTAACTCCTTTGCACAACTCTGCTAGTCAGGTCGATTCTATTTGTTATATACCCACTAGTATCTCTGATTAGCACTAAGTTTTCAATTGAAAAAAAAAAAAAAAATGGGTTATAATACAAACCTTTTTTGAGGACCTCAGCAGAAAATGTTTATAGAATCAACCGACTATATTCGGCGGTAAACAATATATTATCTAGTTTGCGGGCTAAAACACGGTCACTAATATTTATCCTTTCACTATTGTGTATAATTCAAAAGTACGAATGTGATTTGTTAGGTTTATATTTTCATATTTTTGCAATATTGTCACAAAAAATCCTTTATATTTTGTTGTTAATTTGTATATAATATTTTTAATAAATGGAAGCACAACACAGTTTGTAAAACTAATTAATTTTGCGCACTTGCTGAAAACTATTTCGATATTCTTCAATTAGCTGGGAATAAGTGGATAGAGTCGCGAAAATAAGCCGCGACAGCGCACACCGTGTTTGAGTGACCGGCTATCGAAAGGATGTGACCGCTACGCCGTCCAACAGTGTCCTGCGAACCTGAACAGCAAGCGTCCGACGACAAACTACCGCGAGACGGCGAGCGCAGAAATCGTGAGCGAATTTTGATTTTAGCGCGGCGAATTTCCGTACCACGAGTATTTTCTCCTGAGCGCGGCGGCTCTTTACGTTTGTGTACGTGTGTTCGTGTATATGTGTGTGCGTGCGTACAGCTGTGTGAGTGTGTGAGTGAGTGAGCGAATGAGTCCACATGTGAGTTTGTTTACACTCGTATGGTCAGTTTTGTTGTCGTTCTTCTGTTCCTTTGCTCTAAACTTTGTATGTGCGCTTGTGTGTGTGAGTGAGCGTGCGTGCGTGTGTGTCTGTTTGCGTCGCTGCCGTTGAGAGTGCTCTCGCTCTCTACCCGTTGTCGCTGTTGGCGTATTCGCGGCCGTTTTCGGTGACA